ATCTCTCAGTTTTGTTGTAGTCTGTCTGCATGGTGATCTGTCAGCAGTATTTCTCACAAATATTGTGGAAAATGAGGCAGTCAGTACTTGAGGAGTTTATCGATGCATTTTATTGTGGCATAAAGGACTTTATAAACCTTTGATCCCCCCCTCCATTCAAAGTCCACCATTAATAATTCTCATTTAGGTGTGTATGACCGTAGGCGCTTTCATACCCCCAGAACCTTTTTCCGGTATCAGGGACTTCTGTTGTGTTCACATCGCTGGGATTCGGCCCGATTGTAGTTCCTCGAAGGCAGTTCCAAAACCCTTTTTTAGTACCTATTCCAGACTAGGTACTTTTCGTTCGAAGACAAGTTACTGGGGAAGCGCTTACAGCAACAACTTGCTGATTGGTTAACGCTTACAGACATAAGTTGCTGATTGGTTGACTACAAACACCGTTACTAACTTGGAAGCTACAGGAAAAGTGCAGAAAAAGAGATGTAGCAGAGCAAAATTTGAGCAGATGGAATTATTTTTGTACCCCAATTACATTTAATGTATCAATGAATACATTTTTGCCATATTTCTGCATCAGAAAATTTGATTGCTAACTACTATATTTGTGTAATTTCACCGGTACTGGAGGTGAAACTTGCCAGTGTGTATTAGTGGGATAACATTGCATTGTTTTTGACTCTGTGGAAAACAAAATTGGTCCTGCTAATAACTAATACATAACTAACAAAATTACTTATTTTCCACTGTTTTGCCGCGGCGGAGTAGGTTTGTATGAAATTAAGTGTAGCCTACAACCTTTGGCCATCTTTCATGCTTATTTAGCCTAAAGGTCCAGTTTCCTGTTGTGTGGTGTGAAATCATCACTTGAAAATGGCCAGGAGCTACTAAAGATCTAGGCCAAAACTGCCCAGGGACTTGTAAACCAGGACCAAGTTCCAGAACTTCGGTGTGAAAGCGCCCAGTGATGATGTACTGCACCCAGAACTCATCATTTACATTATTCTATTATGTGGGTAAGACCAAGACTGTCTGTCAGCTCTGTTATGCTGAACTCGCATATGCTGCCGGAAAGGCATCAAACATGCCAAGTCAATTATTTCTGTAGGGGTGTTTATTGCTACAGATCCACGACCATACTCCGTGCTGGAGAGCATGGCATTTAGACAGGATTAACTTCATGATTATGATAATATGGTTTTTGATTTAAGTTTTTGTTTTTTATTTTTTATTTTGCAAATTTTATATTTGCAGTGTGCATAATTACAAAGTGCCTCTTAGGTATTTTTATTCAGTAATATTGACAGCTACATTTACCTTTAATAAAACTGCAAAGAATTTGGAACAGTTGTAAACCAATGTCAAAACACAATACTCTACTGTCCTGAAATTTCTCTAAACTGTGAACCCAAAACAGGTTTCTACTGAGCTGTGAATTTTGTGTACTGTTACACTCCTCTGTGGAAAATACTCAGTCCCTAGATGGGACAGCTGCATTGTTGAATAAACGGGGTGCGTTATGGCTGATGACGAATTGGTGCCTAAAACCGTCCTGCTTGGATTCAGTGGAAATGATTTGGATTTGACAAATCTAACTTAGACCAATCTACTGTAATTTGCGAACTTAGCAAAGATACCACGTACAACAGGTAACAACGCAACCATTCTTTTTTACCACATGAAACGTAAGCATCCCAGGTTTTTATCAGGTTTTATTGCAGTACTTAGGCTGGTAGCTGGTCTGCAAAATTCATCATGGGGAACTTTTAATCGTGTCTCTTAGCCCTAGTCCTTGTCATTGGTGACACTTGAAAGAACAGGCGTAGACACAGTGAACCTGTTTACATCGAGCTGAGTCGCACAAAATTGGGCGGTATGATGGTATGGAAAAATGAAATACTGCCCAAGCCTACTGTAGGGGATCTAGAGATAGAGGTTGGGAGGTGTGGGAGCAGTAGTGAGTAGATAGGGGAAGGGTGGTGATGGTGCCATTCATGGAATACATCATTGTCATTTTTTGTCAGCTTTTTTGGCGTTTGTAGGCATGCTCATCTAAACTAGTGCTGCTTTCATAACAAATGTTTATTTCCAAAGTTAAAATGCTAATATAGCTAATGTATAGTTTTCGTAAGTTTATGATCTGATACATAACTGCAGAATTTATGTACGCTCCACTGTGCCTGTGGTGTAGTTTTTTGCCAGTTAACCTGGAGCTTGTGTGTGTACAGACAGAAACAGTCTAGGTAGCAGTGACATTTGATCTCAGAAGAAAATCCCAGTAATGTTCTGCCAGCCATAGACAACTATAAACCATATGCCCTTAAGCCTCGCCTGTTTTTATCATCACTATGACTTAAACTATGTAGCTTAATTTATTATCTGTGATTCCTGTATTTCAAGATAATTACTGCTAAAACTAAGTCTAGCCCTATTGCTAAGCACACAATCCTACATAACGCAATAAAACAAAATACCTAATTACTATAACGTATTACCTTCCGTCAAATGTCTGTCAAGTAAGTTGGTGATGGTGCTGCGAGTTGTACTGGCTCAAAGCATTGCTGTGTGAAAACGGCATTGCATAAGTAAAGGGTAACATGCTGTGGTTCTGTTCCTAAATTATTCCTACCATTCCAGCAAACTTACAGTATAGTTGATGACAGGTAAAATTTTGGCAGTTATCATGCTGCTGCTTCTTCACTCATTGTTCCACTTAATGCCAACTGGTAAATATTAGTGGCAAATTTGTGTCTGTGCACAATTACAATGGGAAATACTGCCAAATATCCTATTAGCCTCCTGCATTGGCATGAAGTACGGCTGTCATTTGATGCAGGGAAAAGGTCAACTGGCTGCCCAAGCATGCTAACAGTAAACCAGTGTCTCCAGTCATACCTCTGGTCTTCCCTGTGTAGGGTTTTGTGTTCTGGAAGTCAGTTGATAAGTATGTGGGTGGATCTGTTTGTGCTTTGGGGTAGTGTGTTGGTCAGCGGTACAGGAAATGTTTTCTCGGGTAGAGTGAAGAATGGTTTCCCTAATCATAAAATCCTCGAAGCTAAAATCCCAGTGTCAGTAAAGAGACAAAGACTAAAAAAAGAGGTTGGATGTTACAAGAGACTAAGATTTTGAAATGGCTTTCATAGCCGCCAGACTGTGTTTAGTGCATGCTCCACAACCTAGGAGTCTTTCTAAAACAGAAGTGTTGAGCAAGGAAGACTGCTGAAAAAATGATAAAGCAAGAATGAAGCAGACTGTTAGAGGGCTACAAGTGACTAATGACTGAGTGCTCAAACATTTGTGCATGCTTAATTTTTATATTTTTATATATCTTTTTCCCCCAGTCTGTTAAATGTGGAAAATAGCTGTGCCCATTGAAATTTGAAAAATATCATGTTTAAGGACCTGCAGATGCTGTTAACTCGAAAATCGGCAAACCATGTAATTTGACCAGAGGGGCTTAAACTTTTGCATATATCGTTTTTTGAAATCAGGTGTACATTATTCACCTTTAAGTAAAAGTCATTGTGTGTATAGAAGTTATCTTCCACATTTGTATGTTATTGGCGATTTCAGTGTTAGGCGTTAGTCCCCCTGGTCCTTAATTCTTAGTCATGTGACCTTGCATTAGTAGTAGAGGGGCACGTTGGCCCGCTTGATTTTACAGGCGATCCTGGTTTAAGGATGTTGAAGGCTGCTGTGGATGGTTTCTTGAGCCCAGATTGAAGAGAGACTGCTTTCTGAGGGGAAAGCAGCAAGCAGAAAACCAACAGAACATAGATATTTGCTTTTAAAATAGTTGTTAAAGAAAATCTCTCTCTCCTGGAACATTTTTTTAAATTGGATTTGTGGCTTTTATGGCTTTACAAATAACCTTAAATCCTTTTAAAATGCTGTTGCCCGATACCACATAGGTACAATTCTATAAACTCAACATGTGCCAAACTGAAATCGGCACAAGTATTCTGATTGTTTAGTGAGGTTGCCAAAGTATTTGAACCAGTAAGCCTTTACCTTTTGTTGAGTAGCATCTATACTTCCGGTTGGTTCCATGTTATATGCCATATTATTGCATTTGCATTTATTTTAATAAATGTAAACTGAGATGGGTATGGTACTCTTACTGCTGTCTCTTTGCACCTCTGGGATTGGAATCTGGCTGCAGCTTTGTGTTGAGTGTAGCGTGTACCTTTCCCCTCTGTTTTGGATCATTGCACCCACAATTGGGTAAGCAGTCATTAAACATGGATGAAAGCGTTATTTGGCTTCTGAATCTGCTCTGTTTTGTTAATATATGACATAGTGGCTTTTGAAAGTAATGATGGATGCCATTGTATATTTTTTGTATTAATCTTTTTTTTTTTGCACCATCTATTCATCTTGGTTTCCATTTTGTATTGTAGGAATCAGATCTGTTGTGCTCATTTAAAATGCATATTCAGTTTTAAAAGCAGTTTCTCGCTGGGAAATGTAAATTAGTCTAGTGAATTCAGTCAAACTCCGCGGCTGTGTGGAGATGGACGCCCCAAGACCACTTCTTAAAAACTGTTCATGGAAATTAATTTTCAGAGCCTAGGTTATCTTTCAATTTCATGTTTTTGCAAATGGCCAAGAAGTGTTTGCGGTCTGTTTTTGTCTTCAGCAGGATCTTTCTGATAAAGAGCTCACAGTCCTTGACCCTTCCATGCCTCCAGACACATATAACAGGGCACTCAGTCAGATCTACCTTATGTCTGATGTATACTTCTGGAATTGGAAATAATCTGTGATTTAGGAAGGAAGAGAGATTATTTACCCTCTCCAATGAACTGTTGGAGGAGAGCCATTGTTAGATGTTTGGTTTTGTCCTTGATGCTGATTTTTTTTTTTTGTCGTCAGGGATCACAAATCTTGTATAATATATGCAGTAGCAAAATCCTGATTATGTATTAGAAGGTATGGTTTGATATAAATGTTTCAGTGCGGTCTAAGGTTGAGACACCGTATCTTTCTTACTCTTTCAGATTGTGTGTACATTGAGAGCCGACGACCCAACACTCCATACTTCATATGTAGCATTCAAGACTTTAAATTGGTGAGTATCCTCCTTTTCCACTGGCCCAGAGTTTAGTTCCTTTGTAAATCCTTTTATCTCTGTGCTCTATTGTTTTGCTTAGAATGAAGGAGCTGAGCATAAAATGGAATTATTCTCTCCTTTGAAGATGTTTGGCTCTTGCCTATGAAGTAAAGTATTTGCTCTATAAAATAGTTGAACTGGGAGAAAAATGTAGTGTAACGCAGCTTGATTTTTAAATTAGTTTTTCAGTGCGCGCTCTTTGAAATAACATCATGGATTACATTTCTGGATTCTTTTACAACACAATATGTTTACTTAAGGTGGACATGTAAAAGCCACAAAACACTATTTTGAACACTTAGCGTTTATTAAATCATACAGCCACATAAGCATATAACTTATGTTGCTGTGTATTAATTATATTGAATTTTTAAACATGAGTAGGTAGTTCAAGGATGTAAATTATGTTCACGTTGATGTCTGATGAAGATGACTGCCGATTTGGCGATCTGTGAGAACAGCAAACAGCCAAACGTAGGTTCTGAGAGATTTTCTGCTTCCAAAATGTGCCACAGTTATTTGCAGTGCTTCAAGAAAGATCTTGAAAAATGCAAGTCAAGACTATTAAAAAAATATGATGATAAAAGCAGCCTACTCACTAATTCCTCAATGCCTGCTGATACAGCCTATGCACTGGCCTGGACATGTCATTGACAAATGGAACTTGTATTTTGTATCTTTTGAATAAATGTTACAAATTTTAGGCTTGCCATGGGAGTTTGTGGTGATATTTGGCTCCTTGTAGAAGAATTTAAAAAAAAAAAATGTGGTGAACCTTCTGTTCACTTGGTGATGTCTAGAGCCTGGTACATATTTTCCTTTCAAATTGCTGCAAAAGACAGCCTGTCCCTTCTCTACAAAATTCCTGAGAAATTAAAATTTGTGGGATTCATGGCTTTACAAAAAATGTAAATCTTTTAAAGACTATGTCTCGCTCCTTTGAATAGGTATTGTAATATAAAATCAACACATTTTGGGGGACTGAAGTGGACAGAAAAAACTCTAAACTGAGTACCTTTAACTACGTGAGTAAAACTCTGGTAAAGTATTTGATACTTTTTTAAGGTGAGAAGATGAAAATAAGAATAACGAACCAATGCAAAGGGAAGAGGACATGTGACAAAAAAACACACTTCACACTTGGCTTATACAGCTCATTGTCATTTGTCTGATTCATATGCTGTAATAACACTAAAGCTCTACTGTTCATAAGCTATAGTGTGCCAGCTCCTCAAGGAAGTTTAATATGAAAATTAAGCACTTCTTATGTCCTTATTCCTGTGATCTGGCTAGTTATAAGGATGAATGGGATGAGAATCCAGATTATTTTTAAGTTCCAAGAGCAGGATACTGATTAGCATTCTTCACTGTCACCAACACAGCTGAATAAGCCGGTGTTACTGCAGATTGGTAAAGGTAGTTACCTTTGGGACATTGAGTGCTTACACCATGCAATGAAAATAATTATTTGCTAGCTGATACTTTAGAGGTTTCAATTGTAGTTTGTTACAAGTTTCTCCTCTTTCAATTTTGTGGGTATTAGATGGTTGACATTTTTAAAATGTAAAAATATTTGAATCCAGCTTGCACACTTAATCAGAGGTATGTACCTGCAAAGTATTTGGCAAATAACTTATGATCAGTGTCACTTTATTAGCATGCGATGGGTCTCCTGTAGAACAAAATGCAACCGCAGGCCTCATTGATAGGCAAATCTGATAACATGACAGCTGAGTGTGGCAATTTTTTTGTTTGTTTCTTATTAATGCACACTGCTTAGGACAGCATACTGTTTATGGGGTGTTTGTGTTTCAGTGGCATGCATGTGATGTCTGAGTCAGGGGTATTGCAACTCTGTTGGCCCTAGTGTATCTCATGGTTTGTCTCAGCACCTTGTCATGGACTGTCTTCCCTGCTGTCCAGGAGAGACTCAATCTAATTCAGGCATGGGTGCATCACATTGTAGGTATATTTAAGGTCAATACTAAGGCTAACTTTAAAAATCATTGAGAATTAATCATTTACACTGCATTTTGCATTTCTTATGAGGTAAGACTACACTTTGTGTATGTGTGTGTGGGTTTGCACAGACCACATTTGAGGACCAAATTGTCCCCAAAGTGTAGTAAAACCTGAAATTTCCTTACTTTTTGGGACATCTTTTGAGGTCCCCATTTGGATAACCTGAGTTTTATTAAAAAAATCTGTGAACGTGTGTGCGTGTGTGTGTTTGCATGCATTGAGATCATGATGATCATGAGCAGTACCAGTGGGTCAGTTTATTAGGGTTGTCAGTAAATGTGTCTCTGCGTGTTGGTATAAACATTTCTCAGAGGAACTGATGTAGAATCTTAATTAGCTGCAGTGTTTATCTTAAGTTGTTAAAATAGATGAGCTGTGCTTGATAAAGGAATCTGTTAGGATTACCTAGTTTTCCTGTTGATATTGAATTAAATTGATAAGCTGACTCTTATGTAATTAAGAATCTATATATGTACATATGATTTATAAACTTTGTGAATTGTATTAACTACAGACAATACTGCAAAAGTGATTTCTCTTGAACAGTGTGTGCTGTAATTCAGAAATGAACAAACACATGAAGTATCCCCTCATTAAATACCAGTTTTTGTTCCTCTTTCCCTCCCTTTTCTTAGGTTTCTGTTTGGGTTTGATAACACATATAGTTAATTTTCCAAAGCGCTGAAAAATATTTAAATTTTCATGGAAAGTTTCGTCGAAGATTTTTCTATGCTGCCTTCTGCATTACTGCTTGTGCTGTCAATGTACATTTTAAATTTTGATTCAGCTAGACAAAAGCTCAAATGGTAAATAAGACCAAAATAATGTGCTATGTGCCTTGTTTGTATGTTGGTTTTGAGAAGTGCTATATATGTAAATATAAATGCAAATTGTCTGCCATATCACATGCAGTGCCTTTGGCTCTTCACTGACCTAAACTATCATTTTCAAGTACATTTCCACATTAATTTGCCGTTTCTGTGCAAACTTTGTCATTTCCAAATCAGAGAACAAGAATACCAATGCCCTAACCTGACTGAAATTTCAAAATTGGAGCAAATGTTTAGAACAAGCATAGGTACAATGCTCATGCCACTGTCAACATATAAAGAAATGGTTATAGGCTTAAGCTTAGTGGCCACTTCATTAGTTGCCTAAGAGAGTACCAGTAGGAACCATTTTCTCTCCAGAAACGCTTTAAGGGTTGATGAGCTGTGTGTTCAGACTGTACAGTGAGCTTTAACTGCATCTCGAAAGGTCAGTGTTTATTGAGCAGAGCAGCTGCAGCTACTTCTGTATCGTGGAAATTGCAGCTGTTAAAAATGGATTTTTGGCTTCTCTCGCTTTGCTTTGTGGTCCTTCTCATTGCCTATCATGTCTTTCAATCAGACAGTAGAAGTGATCTTAAGAGCAGCACGTCTGTGTTAATCTCATGTCTTCTTTAAATGCTGCCCTCTGTCTTAATCTTTGTCGGCTCAGGGGTGTTTTTTCTGCATGAGAAATATGGACACATTAAACAAAAAGCTGACCTGTTCCTCTCATGCACTTGCACTGCCTTTGAACATTGATCTCAGGCTGCAGTGTCACTTTTATTTAAACATTTCAGGTGCTGCTTACTTTTAATGCTGATTACATTTTCTGTCATTAGTGAATTTACATATTATTAAATGCTACATATTTACTTTGGCTCACCTTTCTGCTGCATCTTACTTTGATGACTCGCAGCTGATTAAATGTGTATCGCCCACCCCGGCTAGTTATTGCCCTATCTGCACTGCAGTAAAGTGTTTGCTTATGGGAGTTTTGTATCTGATGCAGTTGAACCTCCATTCAAGGAAGCATTGTAATTCCTCGCAGTCTGTGTTGCATGAACTGCAGCAGCTGCTTTCCGGTGGGCCAAGTATAGGAGAAGTTCCACGTGATGTGATGTGCAGAGCGTGTCTCTGATGTGCATGAACGTGGATTGATTACTGCTTCTAAGAACAATTAGAAATAAGCTGATCATAAGCTGATGAAATTCAAATGGGTGGGTCATAATTATTTCCCCCCCCCTCCATGTTATGGAGGCCAAGATGTTAAAATGCTTATCTTTATAGGGTGCTGGGATAAGGGCAGGAAAGGAGGCAGAGTTACAATCAAGGTGAGTCTCAGTGTGGTCTGTGGTTAGGACAAAAAAAATCTAGACGGAAGTGGATAGTTCCACTGGGATCCTCCTGACCAAAGAGAACATTTTCATAAAGCTTGTGAAAGCAGGATCAATATCAGAACCTTGATCTGGGCTAAATTATTAAACAGAACCTCTTTTCTGTTTCACTAGCTGGGCTTTACCTTCCTGGCTGCTGCTCTGTCGATGGCTATTGTGATTGTATGGTATGCCATTCCAATGCATTCAGGCTCTGCCCTTTAATGTCAGCCTTTCTTCTGGCTAATTGAAGTGTTCAGTTGCACCAGTATTAGGTACATTTCTAATCTGCTGTCATAACCACCTTCTAAACTTATCATCCCTTTCAGTGTGGTTTATTAAAATGGCTCATAAAGACTTATGAAAGAGGCTCTATCTTAGGCAGGTAATTATGAGGTAGTAGACTTCTAAGCCATTGAGAATAATTACAAAGATTTTAATCTATATTTAAACATTTGTTAATATAGACAGTATTAAAGATGGGGATTTAGAAGGATACTTTGCGCATAAGTCTCAAGACAATTTACTTCAACTAAGTTTTTTGTCTCATTGTTTCAGTGCTGCTTGCTTCAAGCTGTAATTACATAAGTGTCAAGTTCAGTCTCATGGTATAGCCCTTGTCCTTATAGAGTACATATTGCAAATCAAATCCTCTGATAGCCTGTGGTACACCAAACTGCGTATTATTGCCACCTCTGTTAAAATTCATCAAGCTGCAGTGTGTGCGTGTGTGTGTGTGTGTGTGTGTGTGTGT